CTGGTCTTGAACTCCTGACCTCAGGTGATCTGCCCACCTTGGCCTCCCTAAGTGCTGGGGTGTGTGAGCCACCGTGCCCGGCTCTAAAGTTTGAATTCTAACCCATGAGTTAGTAAGTATAGAATACATTTTTCTATCAATTTACCCATTTACAAAGAACTTAATTTTTAGGAGCATTACAACCAAATGTTGGCCACTTGTGTGGTGTCAGAAGTTAAGTCCATGGTGGGCATGTATAATATCCTGCTGTCAACTCTGAATTGCCACAAATCAGGCTTTTTTATTTACTAGTAAAAATGTGACTCAGTGATAAACAGTTAGATGTTCATTTTCATTCTTAATCAATAGGAGTATAATTAATACCGTCAACTTTTCTGAAAAACAGTAACAGAAGATGTCAAAAGCTTCAAAAATATTTGTTCCCTTTAGCTCAGGAATTTTACTTCTAGGCTGTAGTCCAAAGGGATTATCAGAAATGCCAAGAAAAATCTGGGTATAAAATGCTTATTATAGCATAATTTAAAACAAGGAGAAATACCACAAAACCTAAATATTCAATTATAGGGGAATAGTCAAGTCATTTATGAGTTATGCCATAAACTAGTATCTTTTACAATTATTTTTGAAAAATGTTATGGAATTAGAAAATTCTTGATATCATTTAATGTGAAATTTGCATACGTGTACTGTGTATAAATTGTCTATATTGCATTATATTTATAGTATGGTTTCAAGAATATGCATAGGAAATGCCAAAATATTACCCTTTTGATAATGGAATTATAAATGATTTTATTTTTGTTCTTTATACTTTTCTGTACTTAAGAAAATATAGGCCAGGTGTGCTGGCTCATGTCTGTAATCCCAGCACTTTGGGAGGCCAAGATGGGAGGAGCACTTGAAGCCAGGAGTTTGAGACCAGCCTGGTCAACATAGCAAGAGCCCATCTCAAATTAATTTTAAAAACATACATATACACAACAAAAACTTAGTTTTAAAAAATAATCTTCTTGCAAAATATAGTATCATGTAATATTAAAGCTCAGTCTGAATATATTTTTTGAGTTTTCAGTTCCAATTTTTACATAAAATGCATCAGATTATCTAAGAACAATTTAAAAATAAAGCTAAACAGTAACATGTAAATAGTTTAAATCTCTCTTTCATTACACCATTCAGAAATTCTGGTATCCTTTTAAAACAAATTACTCCTCATAGTGATGAATTTCCTATTTAACTTATAGCTTTTATCATACATTTTACTAGCCTCATCCAATTTAAATTTTATTGGACCTTTTCTTAAATAGCCTTTTAAATATTTTATAGTAAATGTTGATTACTTAATGCATTGTTTCTCAATCACTTTTTCATTATCACTTTCCTAACGAACCTTTTTAGACATTTTTTTCCCTAATCACCCCCACCCTGTGAAATTTTAGTATCTGCTTATGTACTGTATGTATATCCTTGCTTTATATATGCAAAGGGTAAGCTTTTTTTTCACCCTCCCAAGAACACAATTTTCACCCTTCTAGAAGCAAGATTGCCCCCTTCGAGAATGAATGGCCTAATGGGGCAGTGTAGGAAAATGTCATTTTAACTTTGACAGTGATTCTTAAGCCCATGTATTTTGTTTTTATAGCTGCCTGCCTCTCAAACATCACATGGTGACCACTCCAACACTACTGCTGTGGGGAGAGAATGACGCATTCATGGAGGTTGAGATGGCTGAAGTCACAAAGATTTATGTTAAAAACTATTTCAGGCTAACTATTTTGTCAGAAGCCAGTCATTGGCTTCAGCAAGACCAACCTGACATAGTGAACAAATTGATATGGACATTTCTAAAAGAAGAAACAAGAAAAAAAGATTGACTTTTCTTTATCTTCTATGAAGGGTCTGTAATGAAATCTCTAAGTAATTTTTAAAAATTGTTCATCAACTTCTTTATGTTTTATTAGGAAAAAAACTGTTTTAATGTGCTTTATCATAAATAAATATCCTGACAAAATGGTATTGAAAAAAATCTGAGATCGTGTGAACATGTAATACAATGTTGATTTTCTTCTGGTGTATTTTGCACAGACAAGCATCTGCCTTAAAATATATACACTTGTACAAAAAGGAAGTTTGGAGTAAGTGGCTCCGTTTTGGTTTCTTGCTTTTTTTTCACTCTGTTAACATATGGTGCCTTTTACAAATGTATATTAAAGATTAGCTGTGCTATATTGTAAGGCAAACCTGCAATGATATAAATTTTCATTCTATTGTTCAAAAGTTCTTTTTACTACTTTTAACCATTAAAAAGTTATATTATCAAATCTTTTTTGGATTTATAGTATATCTATTAGTTTGAAGGCAAATATAACTAAATGAATATGCATTTTTAAAATGGGCCATATACTATTTATACTGGGAACATTAAACCATTTTTTAAAGCTGACATCTTGACTGGGCGTGGTGGCTCATGCCTATAATCTCAGCACTCTGGGAAACCAAGGCAGGAGAATCGCTTGAGGCCAGGAGTTTGAGACCAGCCTGGTCAACATGGTGAAACCTTGACTCTACCAAAAATAAATAAAAAATAAAAGTAGGCAGGCGTAGAGCTGCACACCTGAAGTCCCGGCTACTCATGAGGCTGAGGTAAGAAGATAGCTTGTGTCCGGGAGCTCGAGGTTGCAGTGAACCATGATTGGGCCATTGCACTCCAGCCTGGGCAGTGGAGTGAGACCCTGTTGAAACAGAAAGGGAAAGGGAGAGGGAAAAGGAAGGAAAGGATGCTTTTACTCCATTCAATGCAAGAAGAATTGAATACTACATGCCTTGTGTGCACTAGAATCTAAGCTCCACAGGGCAGGGTTTTTTTTGTTGTTTTGTTAACTGATACCCAACTCTAGACTAAGGGCCTGGCATATTGTAGGCACTCAAATATTTGCTTAATGAATGAATAATATATGTGGCACACTGCTAGGGACTGGGGGTGGGGGGGAAATATAAAAGAAAGATAAGGTGGTAACATAGAACTTTCCCATAAGAAGCCTTAAGGGCCAGGTGCAGTGGCTCACGCTTGTAATTCCAACACTTTGGGAGGCTGAGGTGGGTGGATCACCTGAGGTCAGGAGTTTGAGACCAGCCTGGCCAACATGGTGAAACCTCATCTCTACCAAAAATACAAAAATGAGACAGGGATGGTGGCAAATGCCTGTAATCCCAGCTGCTCGGGAAGCTGAGGCAGGAGAATTGCTTGAACTTAGGAGGCAGAGGTCGCAGTGAGCTAAGATCGCACCACTGCATTCCAGCCTGGGCAAGAGCAAAAGTCTGTCCAAAAAAAAAAAGAGAGGCATACATAGAATGCAGTTAAATTAAACAAGGGTTCAAAAGTAGAAATGAACATTATAAGTAAGAGTTGGAAAAGAGTTACAGAATAGAGAACAATACCAACTCAAGGGACTACTACTCATTCTCTTGGGTTGTTCTCCTTTAACATGGGAGGCAACCAGTAACACTGCCAAATCCCATCACGTAACAGATAAGCTCTAAATTGGTGAAAGGATTGCTTCCTACATTAAGCATAGTTCTGATCATGACAGAACACAGGAGAAAGTCCCTAAGAATTCTCATTATTTTATCATAGCAACTTGTATTTACAACAAAAGTTCAATTTTCTATATAACAGCTTCATAACAACATGCAAGGTAGGTATCACCAATTTATAAATAGTAAAAATGTGATTTAACGTGTAACTTTGCCAATGCCCATAGTGTAAGTGCTGGAGCTAAGATGTGACCTAGAGCCATCTGGTGGTAAAGCCCATGATCCCACTTACGTCAGATACCGTTTAGCAGACTTTGGTATCCATGCCACTCTTCCTGTTTTAGCAGTAATCTGGTGTGTTTCAATAGATGGAAACATCTCTCAGGAACCTACAATTTGACTTTTAATTTCGGGAGGGAAAAAATTCAAGTTAGCAATTAGTAAACATCGGAATATTCTATAGAACATTGTCAGAGTTGCAAATGCCACAAGGTATAGAAAAAAGCCTGGTTCATACCAACTTGGTGCTTCCCTCTTGATCCCTCCGGAAGGGCAGCAACAAGGGAAAGAATGGGACGTGCTGAGACAGTAAAGTAATCCTGACTTATTTTAATAAAAACCTGTTACTGACAAAAGTGATTTTAAGATTTGTTGTTGTTGCTACTTCTGTCAATTTAGGAAGCTGACAAGTTCATGTGGACTAATATTAAGAATTTTATCAATCAAACGTTCCATGGACAATTCTGGCCTATTACAATGAACGTACTCTAATTTTCAATGGATATGGAAAAGTACTTGTAACAGATATAAAGCTTCAAGGGTGCCATCAGTTAAACCTCTTATGATAAACAGTTATTACTATCTCTAGAAATCTATTTGTAGGGCAAGTAAGTGAATTTGACTTACTAGCTGCCAAAGCAGCTCACAGTAAATAAAAACAGGTAATGGCACCTAAATTAAAAGTTGTAATTTTTAATAATATTCATCTATTTGAATTAATATATCCCTAATAGTACATAATATATGCCTAATTTAACATCAGAAATTGCTATGTGAAAATAATTTATTAAGCATATGTCAAAAGCAAGATATTTGCAAAAAAAGAAAAAAAGATTGTGCTGTTGATATGAATTCTCCTGTTACATCATTTACCAGCTTTGATTTTTCTGATTTTAAAGGTAATGCAGCATTTTCTATTAACCTACAATTGCCTCTAAGAGTTCTAATTATGTGCAAACAGAAAAAGCAATTGGATGTGGGGAAGGGGTGTATGCCAAAGGCTGCCCCCAAATCCAGGCTACACACAGCCTGAGTCTACTAAGTCGATTTCATGACTCTGCAGTCCACAGACTCTGAGTTGGAGGCGAAGGAGTCTGGGATCATGCAGGAGATAATCAAATCCTTGTACCCTCAGTCGACATGCTTCGGTGCATGGTGCTGGACCTGCATCATCCTCGTGGGTATGAATGTCCTGCATGGTCTTACTCTTCCTCTGGCCAGTGGCCATGCTTTCCACCTTTGGCTATCCTGCTCAAATCCTACAACCCTGCCAAGAGTTGGAAAAAAAAAAACTAGTGAAACCAGTACTCAAGCTCATGGTTCAGTTGACTTTCTTTTTAGCAGGGTTCCTAGGTAAAGTGAAAGGGAAAAAGGCAACCCAAGACAAGGCCCCTATCTTCATTACAGCACCACACTCCACTTTCTTTGACTCAATCCCCTGTGTGATGGCAGGGTTACCCTCAATGCTCTCTGCAAGTCAAAATGTGCAGATCCCATTGACTGGGAAATTCCTACTGTCAACACAGCTGGTGCTTGTGATCCGAGAAGACCCCAATTCCAGGAAGAATACTAAGGATGAAATCCTGAAGTGAGTGACATTTGGAAAGAAGTGGCCACAGATTCTGATTTTCCCAGAAGGTGTGTGCATCAATCGCTCCCATCTAGTCACTTTTAAACTAGGGGACTTCTGTCCAGGTGTTCCTGTGTAGCCAGTGCTGCTCAGGTACCCAAACACCCTGGACACGGCAGTCTGGACCTGGCAGGGATTTACAGGCTTCCAGGAATGTATATTGATCCTCAGTCAACCCTTCACCAGGGTAGAAGTTGTGTTTATGCCTGTTTATATCCGAAATGATGAAATAAAAAAAGACCCCATCCTTTTTGCCAATACAATACGCATCAACATGGCAAATGCTCTGGGGTGCCTGGGACAGAGCACACTTATGAAGACTGCAGACTGATGATCTCCGCAGGTAACCTTCAACTACCCATAGAAGCTGGTTTGGTGGAATTTACAAAAATTAGCCAGAAGTTGAAGTTAGATAGGGATAACATTCATCAGCATTTGGATGAATATGCTGCAATTGCAGTTGCCTCAAAAAGAGGGAAGATAGGAATTGAAGAATTTTCAAGTTATTTAAAACTCCCTATTTCAGAGCCCTTGAGACAACTTTTTGCCCTCTTTGGCAGGAATAATGCTGGCAGCATAGACTTCAGAGAGTATGTAATAAGTCTGACTGTCCTATGCAATCCTGCCAACGTTGTAAAGAGTCTGCAAATGTCCTTTAAGCTTTTTGATCTTGATGCGAATGGCTTAATAACAGAACAGGAGTTCACTGCTATACTTCAGGTAGCTTTTGGAGTGCCAGATCTTGATGTTTCCAGGCTCTTTCAGGAAATAGCTGGACAGAAATCAGTGTACATTTCATATGAGAAATTTAAGAAATTTGCCCTGAAGCATCAAGCATATTCCAAGTTATTTAATTCACACCTAGACCTACAGGCAGCCTATATATATTCATTACCCTAAAAAGTACATTTTTAATCACTGTATTCAAAAGTTACAGGTTAGTCCTGAAAATAGTGAAAGTATCTTCTGGTAGAAATGATGATTGAAGTAAAAATTACTCTTTGAGGAAAAACTCAATAGTTTTCACTCTAAGTGGCATAGGCAATTATGATATTTAAAATATGCTTGAGGAATATTTCAGTTAGATTTTATAGTATCTATTTTTCTTCTTTCTAAAGCTAGTGTTTATTTTAATGTGACCTAAATGTAGAAGAATAAGTGATCTAGTCATAAATCTTGTTCACCCAGCAGGGTTCTAGTTAGTGCCTTTATTGTCTTTAATGCTAAAATAAGGCCAGAGGAACATTAAAGCCTATCACCTCTCCCTCACTGTTGCAGAAGAAATATCACATTAAGAGCTATACTGGGGCAAGCACAGTGGCTCACGCCTATAATCCCAGCACTTTGGGAGGCTGAGGTGGAAGAATCGCTTGAGACCAGGAGTTTGAGACCAGTCCGGGCAACATGGCAAAACCCCATCTCTAAAAAAAATACAAAATTAGCCTAGTGTGGTGGCATGCGCCTGTAGTCCCAGCTACTCAGGAGGCTGAGATAGGAGGATCACTTGAGCCAGATGTTGCAGTGAGCGGATATTGTGCCACTGTATCAGCTTGAGCGACAGAGATCCCATCTCAAAAAAAAAAAAAAAAAAAGAGCTACACTGACAGTAAATAAAAACATTAAATTACCATTTGCATTTCCTCCAAAAAAAGGAAAGAGCTATATAAATACCTCTTTAGTCATTCAAAAAGTAGCCTCAATTTTCTTATTTTTCTTATTTATTATTATTATTTTTTGAAGCAGAGTTTCGTTCTTGTTGCCCAGGCTGGAGTGCAATCTTGGCTCACTGAAACCTCTGCCTCCTGGGTTCAAGCGATTCTCCTGCCTCAGCCTCCCGATATGCCTGAGATTGCAGGCATGAGCCACCACACCAGGCTAATTTTGTATTTTTAGTAGAGACGAGGTTTCTCAATGTTGGTCAGGTTGGTCTCAAACTCCCGACCTCAGGTGATCCGCCCTCCTCGGCCTTCCAAATGCTGGGATTACAGGCACGAACCACCGTGCCTGGCCTAATTTTCTTATTTTTCAAGATAAAATAAATATTAGGAAGATATAGTATTGGGAACATATTGCAACACTTATATATGGTATGCCTGTCCCCTGCTTGCCTTTTTAAAATATAAAAGTGATTATTTAGAATGAGAAATCACAACAGATTACAATTTCTGGAAAGCTGAAAAAATATCATAAACATAGGTCATAAATATAGGAATTTTGACAAATTTCATTCTGTATGACTTTAATCAAAACATAAAAAAAATATGTTTATAATTAACGTGTTCTGCATTACTGAGAATATTCCTTTTGTTCCAATAAGGCATCAATGAGAATGGAAGTCTCTACTTATTTACACATTTATTTCCAATACCTGTCGATGTGTGACATCTTCACATAGTGATGTGACCCTTGGGCCCTACCCCTTCATGTCACCATGCAGGATGAATCAGCAAAGTATTCCTGGAAACCATTCCTATACCAGGACAGGGAGCAACAACCTATCTAGACATGGAAGTGAATGTGAACTGATAAACATACTCCACCAGTCCTACTCACTGAAGCCCCTACTTAGTTTCACTGTGACTGAATCTTAAAAATGCTTGTAGCTACTCAGTAGCACCAGATATGAGGCAACATTTGACCAAAGTTTGCCAACTTTACAAAAACACAACCAAGTAAACACACTTTTAGGGATGCTACTAGAACCCTAGAAGGGGCTTGTGGAAGTGGGGCGCCTAAAGCTTTAACTCTGTCAGTTTCCTTATACTTTCAGAAAGTAGAAAGAAAGAAGAGAAGAATGGGAGAAAGGTAAGGAGATGAGGAAGGAAAAGAAAAGAAAAAAAATCAAATATTATTTTGAGATAATTTCCATGCAGTGCTGCCCTGAAAAAAAAAAAAAAGGATTTGGATCAGTGATTTTTCATAATCCCCATCCAGTGCAATATTCCCATGATAATAAATGCATATATATATATATATATATATAGAATTCAATACAATGATTTGTTTAAATGTACTGAAAATTGTTCATTTAAATAACAGCTTTCACTTAAAAGTAGTTACCAAGCAATATCTTTATTCAAACAGTGGTAGTGCTACCTAAACATTTGTAGAACTCTTTTAAGGTTGTTTCTCATTAGATAGTGAGCTATACAAAAAAGCAGGGTCTTTATTATACTCTCTACATTTTAACCTCAAATGTTTAGCTGGGCATGGTGGTGTATGCCCATAGTCCCAGCTACTCAGGAGGCTGAGGTGGGAGGATTGCTTGAGCTAAGAAGGCACAGGTTGCAACAAGCTGAGATCACGCCACTGCACTCTAGCCTGGGCAACAAAGCAAGACTCTCTCGGAAAAAAAAAAAAAAAAAAAAAGGTTTAACATAGCTTTGTTTAAATCCTCTTTAACACTTAACACTTAAATTTTTTTATTTAAAAATAAATACAGATACAGAAAACCGTATCAGGGAAATTTATAGCTAATAATAATTATTTTGTGTTATAAATATCTATATTTCATATTCTAAATATAATCTGTTTTAAGATTAATACTTTTGGCTGGGCCCGGTGGCTTAAGCCTGTAATCCCAGCACTTTGGGAGGCTGAGGTGGGCGGATCACAAGGTCAGGAGTTCAAGACCAGCCTGGCCAATATGGTGAAACCCCGTCTCTACTAAACAAAAATTAGCCGAGCATGATGGCGGGCACCTGTAGTCCCAGCTACCTGGGAGGCTGAGGCAGGAGAATCACTTGAACCTGGGAGGCAGAGGTTGCAGTGAGCCAAGATTCTGCCACTGCATTCCAGCCTGGGCGACAGAGGGAGACTCCGTCTCAAAAAAAAAAAAAGGTTAATACTCTTGCAACCAACACTCACATAGAGAAATGAAACTTGTCCAGCCACCTTGTAAGCTCTTCCATACCCCTGTCATAATTACAAACTCCCTCTTTCTCTCAAAATTAAGCTCCTTTCCTGACTTGGATAGCTTCACTTCCTGTATTTCTTTACTTTTTAATCATCTAAATCTGCGTATTTTGATACCGTGATGCTTCATTTTGTGTGTCAACTTGGCTAGTCCATGGTACCCGGATATTTGGTCACAGATTACTCAAGATGTTTCTGTGAAGAGATTGTTTACATGAGATTAACATTTAAATCAGTAGACTGTGAGTAAAGCTGACTGCCCTTCATAATGTAGGTGGGCCTCATCCAGTCAGTTAAGGCCTTAATAGAAGAAGACTGACCTACCCTGAAGAGGGTAGAATTCTGCCAGCAAACTGCCTGTAGACTTCATGTGCAATTCTTCCCTGGGTCTCCAGCCTGCAGGCCTCCCTGCAGATTTGGGGGTTGCCAAGCCTTTACAATTGTGTGAGCCAGTTCCTTAAGTCCTGCCCCCTACCCCATACACACACACACACACACACACACACACACATATGTATGTATATATATGTGTATACACACACATACACACACACACACAGAGTTCTCCAGAGACACAGAACCAACTGGGTGTATATATATACATACAGAGAAACAGAAAGCTCTAATAATAGATGCTATTCCTAGACCCTATAGTTTATTCATGCCAATTTTAGACATTGTATGTTTTTTCCCCCCTACATTGTAGCCCATGAAAGATATTTTTTAGACCTTTTAAAATCTACAGATCTCCCCTCCTTCCCTTTATTTTGCTTATACTTCTTCTATTGCAGAACCTGGGCTGTTCGATCTGTGGAATTTCCCATAGTCTGCATTCTGCCAACTGCATATTTATGGTACAAATCAGCATATGCTTCTGCCCTTTGTGTTTTCTGGTGATTGGAATCCAGAGGCTTCATCAAATTCAGGTTTGATTCATTTGGCAAGATCATACATGTAGTGTGTTTTTCATCAGAAAGCATATATTGCCTGGTTTTCTTTTTGTGATTTTTGCAGCTATTGCTGCTCATCACTTAGATCATTGAGGGTTGTAATATGGTGCTATTCTGATTCTGTAATCGCTTTTCTTTTTCAAATGGCTTTTCCAAATGGCTGCCTATTCTTAAATATGATGGCAGGAAGAAATCAAAATCACAACTTCCCTGTCCATGAAGACCTTCAGTGCTCATCATCACTATCACCTTTGTAAACCCACCACATCCACTGGAGCTAGTAAAACTTAACTGCTAGGAGGAAACAAACACTAACAGCAAAATGACATTGCCTATTTGAATGGAAGACAGTGTAGGGGGAAAGCTAAAACTCTAAAGAGTAACCTTCAAAACTATTTTGTGATGATAAGTCATAAGCTAATAATACACATCATAGCAGAATTTTACATGGATTATCTCATTTAGTCTTTCTAACCACCACATGAGATACCCTTATCCACATTATAGGGAAACTGAGGCTTGGAGAGCTTCACGGATCAGCACAATAGACTCAAGCTCAATAGACTTAGACTATTAGACCAGTAGGCTAGGTCATACAACTAATAAACAAGTTAAATTGGATTCAATATCATGATTCTAAAGTCTGCACTTTTAACCATTACACACATGCAGGGAAGAGTCCAGAAACAGTATAAGTGAGGTTTGTGCAGAATCCTCAGCTTTATCAGTTCTATGTGTTGCTGTTAGCACTGAGAGGACATTGAACAGATTAACAGTTGACCAATACTAAGGCAAAAAAATTACCGCACCCTCACCCTTGGGCATGGAACATTCAGCAATTCACTTTTTATTTTGTATTTTTTGAGACAGGATCTTGCTGTGTCACCCAGGCTGGTTTGCAGCAGTGTGATCTCAGCTCACTGCAACTTCCACCTCAAGTGATCCTCCTGCCTCACCCTCCTAAGTAGCCAGGACCACAGGTGTGCGCCGCAACCCAGGGCTAATCTTTTTTATTTTTGACAAAGATGCGGTTTTGCCGTGTTGCTCAGGCTGGTCTCGAACTCCTGGACTCAAGTGATCCACCCACCTCAGCCTCTCAAAGAGCTGAGATTACAGGCATGAGCCACTGCACCCAGCCAGTAAAAATTTTTTTAAAGCAATGTATATAAAGCCTCTATAATTAAAACTGTGATACTGGCACAAGAATAGATGGCCTGAACAATGTGATAGAATAGAAAGTCCAGAAATAGAACTAAGGGAGAAAACAATTTAGCATATGATAAAAGTGGCATCTAAAATGAGAAGGGGAAAAGTTGACTTTTAGTAAACGGTATTGGGGTAACTAGATAGCCACTTGGAAAAAAATAAAATATACAATTGGATCTTTCCTTCATACTATGTAACAAGATAAATTCCAAATGAATTAAATAGCTACGTATAAAAAGTGAAATCACACATTATTAGGGGAAAAGCGTATGAATTCCTTAACAATCTGGAAGTTAGGATAATCTTTCCACCTATGATTCAAAGTCCAGAAACAATGAACAAAAAGAAAGAAAAAATTTGACTACATTAAAACAAAAACATCAGGAAAAAAAGAAAAAAACCTACTAAAAACCAAGCCAAGTCAGAAGACAAATGACAAATGGAAAAATGTATTTGCAAATTATATCACGGACAACACTAATATCTCCAACATCTAAAAATAGAGAAAAGACCAAAAGCAAAATGGGCAAAGGATGTGAATAATCATTCAAAGAAGAAATTAAAACGGCAGTTGAGTGAAATGTAGTGGAATTGCCACCATAAAAAGAAATGACAAAGATCTGCATTAGCATGGCATAACAGCTAGGATATACTGGGTTTTTTTTTGTGTGTGTGTATACATTTAGTTTTATTGTAACAAAGCAACTTGTACACTTTTAACGTTTAAAACCGAGCATCATCTTTCCTTTCCAGTGAAACAAAAAGAAAATTTAAAAATAATCAGGAATAAAATTACAATAGAGAATGTCAATTCCAAATAAGATCCTACAGGTTCTGCTGAGTCTCCCACTGAGTGGCAGCACTCAAGTCATCATTAGGAGAGAATTTATTTTAAAAGTGTTATCTTAAACTGCAAGGATGTCTGTCAAATATCACAATTAAACATGCCAAAGGAGAAGCCATGTTGTCAAAATGACCACTTAACCCACCCAAACATCTCAAACCCACCCTTTGCTGACCTTCTACAACCCCATTTTTTTAAAGTTTTTTTTTCTTTTTTTAAACAAGAGAAAGTAGACAGATACATGTTGGTAAATCTAACTGCCCATATTGTCCCTTTGACCTACATAGAGACACAGTGTACTCTCTGAGCCCAATATACAGAGAAAGGAGGAAAAAAGCTAGAATTCTATGCACTACGACACAGGGGCCTAGCACCCTCCAGCTTCCAGCAGAGCGAAAGGAGTGGGTTTTTCTTCTTTCCCACAGAGCTAGGTTGTGTTGATTCCGTACAGTTTTTGTTCAGACAGGAAGGGATAAAAATGAACTTCGAACAGAAAGGGGAAGACACTCTTTTCCCATTGTATTATGCTCAAGGTATTTCCCCCAAATAAGTTGAGAACCATGGAGTAGAGAAAAGAGACCTCAAGAACAGGGCAACTGAGCACAAGAGGCAAAAAAAGAAAAAAAAAAAAAAAAAAAAGACTGCAACTTGCTCCCAGGGACTGGAGAAAATTTTAAAAAAGAAAGGTTGGAATCCATCAGTGTTCTATTCGTCATCTTCTCCTTCATCCTCCTCTCCTTCCTCCCCTTCATCATCATCTTCATCTTCTTCACCTTCATCCTCATCCCCTTCTTCATCAATATCTTCTAATCCTTCCTCCTCTTCATCATCATCATCATCTTCTCCTTCTCCTTCATCATCCATATTAGGAACCAAGTAGTACTGCAATGGGTTTGGCCAAATATCATCTTTAATGACCTCTCCTAACTTATCAGCACGTGCATCAGAATGGTCAGTAAACCAGGTAAAGAAGCTCTCTGGTTCCTCATGCTGCTTCTTCCTGCTGGCTTTATTCTGTGTTTGACTTGAACGTTTCATCAAATCCTTTCCAGATTTCCATTTGATTTCAGTGGACTTTGAAGATGGATCACCACTCTCATTCAGATGAAATTCTTTGGAGAAAACTTTATTTTCAAAGTAAGGATTTTCATCAAAATAAAAATCTATTCTGTAACCTGATTTAATATCTTCAAATTCTGTCACTTCAACTTTGGTCAAATAATGCAGTGCCTCTTCATCCTCCTCCCCAAGCAGTGCAGACATTTGTGGATGGTTGACAAATGTTGTTACCCAAAAATCTGGCATTTTGGCGATCAATTCTGACCTCTTCTGACAAAATGGTTGGCAGAGTTTGTTATATTTCTGTTCTACTTTCAAAATCTCCTCACTGTCTTGTTCATTAAGTCTGTCTATTTCATTTTGTACTTCATCAATGTGTTCAATTGCTTCTTGCTGTTCTTTTTCTCCCTTCTTCAGCAAGCCTGCAGAGGCTGATGTGTCCTCTGGTCCCAGAGCAGGAGGTGGTCTTGGTTTCTTCTTTTCAAGTGGGAGTGGAGACTGGCGTTTAGGGGCCATGCTGTTAGGGAAGTCCAAGAACCAGACCACGAGTCTCCTTGCTCGTCTGGAAGCAGGCAGAACACTCTAGTATATACTGTTAAATGAGGAAAAACAAGATGCAGAATAGTAAATATATAGTATGCATGTTACCTTATGTTTAAGAAGGGGTGATCTGAGTACATGGAATATGTGGAATACACACATATACATATACACATTCATTCTTTTTTCCAAGGTAAAAAGGAATTTACCCACTTTATTTCAAGTAGTATATAATTTCACTTTTTATATTTAGCTGTCCTATCCATTACATTTTTATATATAGTTGGTTTTTTTTTTTTTTTTTTTTTTGAGATGGAGTTTCGCTCTTGTCACCCAGGCTGGAGTGGAGTGGCTTGATAATCGGCTCACTGCAACCTCCACTTCCCAGGTTCAAGCAATTCTCCTGCCTCAGCCTCCCGAGTAGCTGGGATTACAGGCCTGTACCACTACGCCCAGCTAATTTTATATTTTCAGTAGAGACAAGGTTTCACCATGTTGGCCAGGCAGGCCTTGAACTCCAGACCTCAGGTGATCCGCCCACCTGGGCCTTCCAAAGTGCTGGGATTACAGGTGGGCACCAGCATGGTCAGCGAATTTTTATATATAGTTCTTAAAAACAACAACAATGACAACAACAACAACAAAAACACTACTCAGCTGGGCATGGTGGCACATACCTATAGTTTCAACTACTCAGGAGGTTGAGGCAGGAAGATCACTTGAGCCCAGGAGTTCAAGGTCAGCCTGGACAACATGACAAGATCTCTCTCTCTCTGAAAAGCTTTTCGCTTTTTTTTTTTTTTTT